GAGGCTGCAGGGACAGCACAACCAAGCTCCAAAAAACTCGGGTCGGGACGCAACCTTTGATTGATTAGGTCGGGAACATGCATGTTTGCTTCATGACACTTTCAATTATGGATCCCTCTTGCCGGGACTGCTGCTCCTCATCCTTCGTCCTCCTAGCCTATCAAGGCTTCACGAGCTCACTCATCTTCCCAAATACTCCATTTATGCATAGCCTCCAATAATTCTTACATAACTAAATCCAGTCTTTCTCCATTTATGCATGTTGTAACTTGCGACCACTCCCCCATTCATTTCTTTGTGGAAAAAACTTGCATGCTTAATCATACATATTTTAAGTGTTTTTTTAATTAAATCGACACGTATGATTTTTTTATATATTAATGCTTGTTTTTATATATTATTTCATGACAAAAGTTTACTATTAATGTAATAAAATTTACTTATTGTAATTTAATTTGACAAAATATGCTAAATATATTAGATTAATTAGTGTCTAAATTTTCACTCTTTCATACTCCGTCTACTCCTCCTCCTCTCACGCACGCATAAAAAAAATTTTGTTAAAAAAAATTTATTCTTCTTAATTGTATTATAGATTGATTTTCCCCCTAGGTACTCCTGGTTTAATGTTCAATAATGTTTTAAATTTATTGTTGCTCATTTATAACATCATGAATGAAGGGTACAAATATTATTGTTATTAAACTTTTGAGTTGATTCTCTAAATTTATCATTTTTATATTTATAATTTATAAAATTATGTCAACTCGCTCATAAACTTAAATAGCTAAATGTAAATTCAATTAAACTTGTTAAACTCATCAATTTTTTATTGAGTTAAACAAGTTAAGTATATACCATGTAAAACTTCATTTATGGAAGTGATAAGATTCCATTCAAAGAAAAATAAATCTCAAAAGTCAAAAACTAATATTAAAAAAAAAACAAGAAGTATATACAAAAAATAAGCTGTCCTATTTTAAAAGTTCTTTATCAAGTATAATAATATATCTATATTGATATACTTAATTTTAATTATGTGTATTTAAAATATATTTAAATTAAATTATGGTCATATTTTATATTTTAATTATTTAATTATATATTTTTAATGATTATTTATTAGTATAAGTAAATTCTTGCAAATTTATGATTCAAGTTGACAATCCAAGTTTTTATCACTATCATGAATTTATTTAAATTCACAAGTTTACTACTTATGTAGAGTTGAAATAATCTATTAAATATACATTACGTAGGGTGGCTTTGTTATAATTAAGATCAAGGAACTCCCTTAATGGGCTCATTCGCAAACTCCGCGATTCATGCATGCGATAATCTTATATTCCCTCTAATTTCAGATATAAATAAAAAACAATCAACTCACGTACGTCTATTATTAATAAAAGTTGTTAAAAGTGATTATTCCTTATAATTGTATTGTAAATGGATCTTTTTTTTCTAAAATATCCTTAGCACTATAAGGGTTACTCATTTAACGATGTCAGGGCTATTTAAAATTATTTTTATTTTATTATTTTAAAAATTAATGTTTTGTAAAACATATTCTGAGAATAATAATAATAATAATAATAATAATAATAATAATATGTGTTTTTTTCATTCTCTATTATTTTTTAGAATAATAATTTCAAAACACTTAAAAGTTATTTTCACTTTTTTATTCTCTTGAACAATATTTTATTTTTTTAAATACTTTTTGAAAATACGTTACTAAAATTTTTTTATTTTTTTCTAAAAAATAAAAAACTATTTTTAAAATAAGTTGCCAAACAAGTCCATATACTTTATTTAACTATTTGCTATACATATATACAGGTAGATCCAACTATCCCGGTTGAATGAAGGGCAGTGTAGAAAGGATGTCTTTAATACACACCATAGACATTACTTACTCCGTTTAAAATTATGATGTATTTTTTGAAATATGCCATGCTTGATAACATAAGATATTTTGTTATTGTATACACAGGAATAATTAATGAGGCTTTTTTGGGTCAAAAATCCCTTTATCCTCATATATTTTGCTCTGTTCTATCTTAAATAGGGTAGTTTAGTGTGTGTGTGTGTATATACTAATATTTTAACCTTAAACAACAGTAGATACAAAATGGTGATGTAGTAAGGTTCTAAAAAAGCGAGTTGAGTTCATGTCTTAATGTCGAAAAGCCCAGCCAACTCGCAGTCTGAAACACAAACCACACAGAGCCAAAGTAACTTGATAAATACAATTTTTTATATTAAAAAAAGGAATGGAATACCTGTGTATATATTTTTTAACTTGAAAACATGCTTTTTAAATTTTTAATTGATATCGAGCACTTAATGGAGTATAATATGCATAAATTATGAGATATAAAAATCTATATTCATATTCTCCCTCCACTTAAAAATATATAGTATTTTTTGAGAAGTTGAAGGTTAAAAAATTTAAGATATTTTTAATCTTTTAAGGTGTAATTATTATTTTTTTAAAAAAGTGTCCCTATTGAATAAATTACTTTATATTTATTGTAGGGTGTTTGATAGAAATAATATAAAAAAATTAAGGTTAGTTCAAAAGTAGATAATTACTTTATTAAATGGTGAAATTTGATTAAAATTATTTTATATTTTTTAATAAAAAAATAATAAAATATTCTAAAAAAATCTATATGTATAAAAAGAAGTAAACTCTTACTCGTCTGTTTATTTGATTTAAAAAAGAGGAAGATAGGGAGAAGGGAGGGGGTGGCGTGTAAGAAGAGGAGGGAGGGGGAGGTTAGTGAGGGGGAAGGCATCCACGTTGGAGGCGGTGAGCCACAGCAGAGTGACACTTTCGGTGAAAGGCGTTGTAAGTGAGCAACACAAACACCATTCTGAATCTGCGTTGCTAAAGTCAACACCATAACGGTGTCTGGTCGGTGTTCTTTCGTCACGTGTCGGCGGTCCACCTTCCCCCCTTCCCCCTCCATCATTTTGTCCTTCTTTCACATCTCTCCCTCCCCGTCTTCCTTCCTTTCCTTCTCTTCTATTATTCGATTTTTTTTTTATATTCTCCCTTTTTACTCTACTTTTCATATTCAAACAGCTCCTGCTTAGAATTCATGTACCGCAAAAACATTTGAAAAATCAGATTGTCGCCTTCGTCTCAAGTCATTGTGAAACTGCAAAATCATACCAGACGTCGTATGAAGAGGAACAGAAACTTGGGATTTGGTCGGATGAGGATCCAATTTGACATTTGATTTTCACTTGCAACGCTGTCTTTTAATGACAGAAAAATTGATGGCAGCAGCCGCACCTTGGTATAAAATAATGGGTTTGGTTGAAGTCGAAGAAACAAACAAGATGCAAATTAAACTTAGCTAAAATTGCTACGTCACCCGAGCCCTTAGATATTTTTGGATCCATAATCATGACCTTCATTATGCTTAAGTTTAATTAATCACATGATTGTGAACTAACATCGTTATCGTGCCGTCGCGACTAAGAAATGTTGATCATGATCTCACGGGCCGGTGAGCGGGCCCGCCTCCATCCATCATCCCCTTCAAATTTTTAATTGTTATTCCAAATAATCAATTTGTAAAGTCTGTTTATTAATTTTGTCGTCATTTGTAACTCCCCACTCCTTCCTCTCACGGGAGCGACATTTCCCGGACATGGATACCAGATTTGGTGGGATTCATCAGTCTTGTAATTACGAACTTTTGATTGTTATGATTACAATTAATGCTTCAACGTTAAAACTGCGGGTTTTATTTTATTTTTTATTAAAGGGTTTTAGTTTTAAAAAACTATTCTTGCTTGACTCTTCCCTCTTTAGCAGTCAATCACGTCACATCAACGAAAAAAATATGAATTTACTGACTACTGAAAACAAAAATCTCATAGTACCACAACAAAACAAATAGTGTGAATTACATTTTATTTATTTTCATTTTCTCCTCAATTTTAGTCAATAATAATGTTTGTCAAAAAATTGAATTCATAGCAAATTCAGATAATATATGATACACTGATGATGAGTTTATTCCCTAAATTTCCAAAAAATCAATGCTTCAAATGCAATATTCTTGATTGGCTCATTCCTGGCCGTACAGCGCATCGCATGAGTACAAATGTGACATTCTACATTTCAACTAATTGCACTTCCTCCTCAGGCCGGAGAAGAAAGTAATTATATGGACTTACCCCAAACCAAGCGGGTCAATTACTTCAACTAATAAAATATTTTGTAATCAATATCAGTATTATAATGTAGTATAAAATTTTGATGACTCTGACCTATTAATAAGTCATAAATATTATATGCTAACTCAGCGCAGGAATATTTTGTTTGGCAAAGACATGAAAATTTTCTCAAGAGAGTATTTCCTCTCATCGAGGGATTTCGTATTAATTACTATCCTCAAAAAATTTGGAGAAATAATTCAAAATTGAATTTTATCAAATCTGTTGTTTAAAGAATTATAGTTTATTTGAGGAAAAAAAAAACACTTCTAAACTTAACAAACTTGACTAAGTTAGTCAGAGATATCATCTCTTTTGGGTTTCTGGCAGCGCGCTCTAGTGCCATTCAACTAAACACTAAACAGTTGCTTGGACAAAGAAATCCTGTATACTGTAAATGAATTTCCTTTTCAATCCACAAAATTTAAATGTATTTTGCATGAACTTGGGTTTTTTATTCTTGGCAGTTCAGCCAGATATTTTTAGTTCTCTGACGACAGAAGGTCTTACGATTATTACAATTATAATTCTATTGAAATTATCAGAAATCCAATAATTAGAAATTCATTTACTTTTTTTGTTTATATTTGTTTTTGTGTGATAGTCATGTTTTCTTAATTTTATAGTGAATTGACCCTTTTGGGAATTAATTTTAGATCCAACATTCGAAAATGATAGGCTTCCACGTGTCATGCGAGATGGGAGAATAACCAAAACGGTCGCAACATACATCACAACGGCACAGTCAAAAAGTTAACATCCAATGAACTCACAAATCACAAGTGCCTATATATATATATATATATATATGACAACTAGAAAATGATACATAGTGTCATTAGAGAAGGACAAACTAAAATAACTAAGCATAGAAACTACCAAATTTTGGAGTAATTAATAATTAATAATAATATACACCCATCCTTGGAGCAGAAAAACAAAGCTCATAGCGGATGCACCATAAGGCAAGGAAATCATAAAACCCTCTCCTGCCCTGGTTTCAGCATAAAATGCATTATAAAGGTTTAAAAGAGACTAAGAGGAAAAGGAATAAAAAAAAAAGGAAAATGATCAACTGAGAGACATGCTAGTGAATGGTGATCACAAGGCACAGAAGCTGTGTGGTTCAAATATCCACAACCAGTGAGAATTAAGAACCTATGTAGGAAGAATTTAATCTTGACCTTTCCAGAAGAAGGGTCTCACGGGACGAGTAGAGGAGGAAGTGGAAGAATCTGATGGTTTGGCATTATTTTCTTACTGTCTGTGGGTATCCGCATCCTTAAATTCCTGGTGATTAGGATTGAAAAAAGGAAGCTGCGACTGAAATGTGTCCAAATCATCCCACACAGGGCTGCCCGGACCCCAGCCCGTCGGAATTGCATTGAACCAAGCCGCCATTTCGCCCCAAACCAGTTCTTGCGACGTCGAAGTGCCCTCCCCTGTTCCAGCATTAGATGCCGCCTGTCCTTCGTCGCTCATTGTAGCATCACTCGACCCTATTCCAGAATCATTGTCGGTACTCTCTTCCGGCGGCCGTTGCGGAGGCTTCTCCTCCGCAATTGGAGCTTCTGGGGCAGAGTCAGCGTGTTTGGACGTTGATCCTTGATGGGGAGTGGAGGGAGAAGAAGCAGATGAATCCGGGGCTGCTGAGGATGGCTTATCCTTATTGAGGAAGAGGTCGGGGAAGTTGAGCCTAGCATTCTCTCCCCTCAGCTTAAAGGCCTCGCGATCATAAGCTAAGGCAGCATCTTCCGCCGTGTCAAATGTTCCCAGCCAGAGGCGAGTCCTATTGCGAGGAAGACGGATCTCTGCCACCCATTTCCCCCAATGACGCTGCCTCACCCCTCTGTAGAGCTTCGTAGTATTTATAGGCTGAGGAGGGGGCCTATACATTGGCCTCCCGTCCGGTCCCACGCTGTTCATCATCATCATCCTTCCTCTCGGACTCAGATTCAATGCGTCTCTCCAATACTGAAGAAGCTGCTGCTGCTGCTGCTGATGATGATGATCATGATGATGGTAATGCGGGGGTGCAACTCCAGAGTCTTGGGCCGGGAATTGTGGGTACCCAATGTTTTGCTGCTGGGAACCGAAAGATATCATCTGTTGCCGAGTCTGCATGGCATGAAATGGCGGGCGAAACACGGGCAAATTTGCAGAACCAAATTGTTGAGGGGGAAATTGCATGGGTTGTTGAGAACCATCGAAGGCAAAAGGGAAGACGATTCTGGAAGACGAAGAAGAAGGAAGCGAGGAGGGAATGGAGGAGGAAGGACGCGGTAGAATGGAAACAGAGGATTGATCCTGGTTTGAGCTGTGGCGCTGGGGGCTCCGGATTTTCTTGAGAGGCCTGTTGGTCACGGAAGCATCCTCAAAAACCGGCTTCCATTGCTGCCTCTCACCACTCAAGTCTAAATCTTTACCTCTTTCAATCTCCCAATCTCGACTTTCTGCACCACCGTCGGAGGATTTGCCACCGTTACTAGCTGTGGCCATCCGCACTGATGATCAATATCCGCTCGCTCTCCCAAGCTCAAAAGCGGAGCCTTTGAGTTCTACGCAGAACTAAGAAATGAGATGAGATGGGCACATATGTAGGGTTTGAAGAAGAAAGATTCAAATAAAAACGAACTAAAATCTCAAAAGGGAAGAATCCAAATTCAGATAGGGTCAAAGATTTAAGAAGCTAAAACTGAATTTTAGTTTGGACGGTGGGTTCTGAAATGGAGAGATAATCCGATCAAATAAAAAATAGAATCGGATACCAGGGACCCATCTGAAAAGAGTTTGCGAGAGAGGAGCAAAAAGCGAGGGAGAGAGCGAGCGGGAGAGAGGGGGCGAAAGCAGGGGAGAGAGTGTTGTGGTGAGGGGAGAGGGAGAGGGAAGGGCGGAGAGGGATTTATAAGAGGGGGAGGAGGAGCAGGAAGGGGTTTAAATCAAACTTTTTGCAATGAAAGAGGTCAGTGGTTGGCTGAAGGGGGGCCCACACTGTTGGCCTTTGCTTGGCCTCACCCACTCCCTCTCGTGCCATGGTGTGCCATGCATTTCACAAAGTCAACAGCACAATGCTGTCTGGTCGGTGTTCTTTTGTCACATGTTGGTGGTCCACCTTCCCCCTTCCCTCTCCATCATTTTGCCCTTCTTTCACATCTCTCTCTCCCCATATTCCTTCCTCTCCTCCTCTTCTATTATTTGATCTTTTTTTACTCTTCTTTTCATATTCCTGCAACACTCTTTGCAAAATTCATTTCTAAAAATGCTCATATCTCTTCTCATGTTTCTTTCATTCCCCCTCTCATGAGTTATAGTATACTCCCCCTGTCTTACATATAAGATCTACTTGAGATATTAACCAAGTTGGTTAATTTGGTTAATTGCAATGTTGTATAAAAAAAAATATGCATGAATTTACCTACAATACCCCCGTGTCTAATTTAACGAGTGAGTACGTAGAAAAGGAGAGAGACTATTGAATTGGCATAAGAAAAAGTGCGCGTGAGCGATTATAGAGCCAAAGTACATTTGTCTATCTAACTTTTATATTTAGAACCGGTCAGAGTATCAATCAAAGGATAATATTGAAAAATTCTAAAACATTTTAATATTAAACTAATTTGTGAAAAGGCGATAGGTCGTATTATTATTATATTATATTTTATTTTTTTTTGGTTCCCATCCTGCCCCTAACGCGCTCTGTTGGATGTTCTTTCACAACTTCGTCCACTCAAAAAATATCTCACCCCCCTTCGATTAGATATTCCCCCACGCTTCACCTCCCTACAATCACCAAGAACCTTCTCCCTTAGTTTGTCTCTCACATTACATCCTCACATTTTATTTTCTTTCTAAAAAATATGATTGAAATAATATTATACTCTTTTTTACTTAAAGATATTAGGCATCCTGGGAGCAAAGTTAATTAGTATTTTTGTCTTTTAATTTTTATTTTTTTGGGGCCGGAGACGTCAAGTCAGTGACGAGGAATTTAGTATAACGAGGATCAAATGTTCAAAGTGGGCACTAACAAAGCTTTCCTTTGAAGCAGGACGACTCTTTGATTGGACACGTGGCTTCCGTTCCCTGCAGTTTTGACTTGATCAGATCAACATATATGCGTAGCCATGATAATGGAAGACCCATTATACTTCATAGAGATATAGATAGATATTTGTACACATGACTCCCATTCAACTCATACAAGACAAGTCGGGGGTCTCTTCCGTCCTGAGACGCAAATCACGTATATTCTACCACTCAATTAATTTACCAACTCTGCTCATGCACCACCATGTCACTCAATCCATTATGGGCTCTCTGTTTTTTACAACACCCCTTCACAGTTTTGCCCAGCAAAACTAAAACATGCATGTACAGCTCTCTTACTGTATACATGCATACATGTCACAGGTTATTACAACCCGCATCTTTTATCTTAAATCCTTTTTTCCTTTAATTTTATTTTGATCTCTTATGCCTTTTCTTTCTTAGTTAAAAAAAAAATAGAGAAAACATAATCATTGATCCCTATAATTTTATTAGGTTTATTTTTAATTCTTGTATTTTTTTAGTCTTTATAGTTCTAGCAAGATCTTGAAACTTTTGTTTTTCAGGTTCCTAATGATATTAAATTACAGAGGTTATAAGGATTGAAAGCAAATTATAAAAACTGTAAGGACTGAAAATAAATTACAGGGATATATTAAAAGTAAAATTTGATAAAATTACAGGAATCAATGATTATATTTCTAAAAAAAGTATTTGCCTCTTATTAATGGACAATGAATTATATATAGATTCGAAATGATTTCCAGCTATTGGTAAAATTATGATCACCCTGCATATATCTATTTACCCTAATATGAGCTGATGGAAAATAAAAAAAATGTAGACACGGGCATTAATTGGTACATAAGGCGCACCCTGATGACACGGAGGATGCAGTACTGAAGATGGAAATTTCTTTGAAGCTTGAACAGTGGATGAGTGGACTTTGATTCATGGTGGAGGTGGATCCCTACTCGTTACGTTTCTATGTTATCGGTGCCATTATGGGCATAGGGTACGAAAATAGGCCAGGTCAACTCCCTTATGGGAGTGCCCACAACACGGCGCGCATATAACATAAATATATTCAATAAATATATATATAGAAAGAGTTTCCGTGTGCGAATAGTAATGTATAGTTTAATTAGTTCCTTTATTATAATAAAGTGATCAAAGTACAATCTCTGCATCTTAATTATTATATATCGCCCATTAATTATCCTAATATTCAATATTATCCATCCATTTCACATTTCGGCGTCTCTCTTTCTGATCTTTTATGTGGCAGAATTACTTTAATTACTAGTGATGATTTATAAAACAAATTTAGCGGTTGGTACACGCAATAGTTTTTGTCCGATGAAAGGGACCGTTATTTTGGAGCCCCATTCTTTGCTGCAAATCCACCGGTAGAAAGATCACCACTATATGTCCAATGCAGCCCGGCCACGTGTTCATGTGTTGTGAAGTGGTTGCACAATGAACCTACTTCCTTCTCTATTTGTCCGTCTCATCTAAGACCGCGCTAATCTTCTCCGTATCAAGTGAATCAAACTTCCTTAATTTGCCACATGAGAGGCTTAATATGATGGAGGGATCAAGGGAGTAATTGAGAATTGGCTAGATCGAGGTGTTAGTTAGCCATTGGCACACACATAAATATTTTTTTCAATTTTATTCATAAATTACTTCTAATATTTTATTAAAATTAATGAAAATCTTAAATTTTATTATCTTCATATAAAAATTTAACAAGTTTTTAAACTTTATTTTCATATATACGCACTTTAAAAATAAAATATTCTGACACTTGGTAACATTTTAATATTTAATGAGGACAAAATAATAAAGTTGGACAGAATAATTATTAAAATGTTTTATAAATAAAATTAAAATAATTTTTTTTATTCTACCCTATAAATCGGGTCATAAGAGTATCCTCGGAGCACGAAGGTTGAAAATGGCAAAAGGTTTGGAATTTTGTCTGCCTGATGAGGTTCACTCTTATTGGCTCAAGATGTTTGGGTTTGCAAATACATTATGGTAATAATCATTGCTGGCCCGTTTATAATGCATCCAATGTCAATGCCTTTCTCTTCGCAGGGTATTTGCACTGATTAACTAGACACTCTCTCATTGTGGTCCACCTTCTTAACAAGAGTGCGTGAACTATAATACATCTTGATGACCCCTATTCTAAGAATTCAGCTGGCTTCTGCTTTGGATTTCATATTTAAACGAGGAAGACGGTTGGTGAGACTGGTCCCACGTCACCTTGACCATAATGGAATTATTTATATTTTTCATTGATTACTCAATATATAATATTATACTCATTCTTGCTTATCAAGTATTAGCTGGACATCATTTCTTCAGGATATGTATAGGCATACATGGATGTGTTTGAATGTGTTTTAATTTGTTTCCCCGTTTAATTTTGGTCCTCTGACTTTTTCTTCCTCAATCATGGGGAATACTTGCATTCCATTCTTCCATTTGATTGTGGATTTAGACAAGACGCATTTTCTTCTTTTTTAATTAGTGTTTGGTCCTATCTAACAAATTTCTAACGCTTAATTTCTCCACATCAGGAACATGTTGATCAAGAAAAATCCCGTGGCCTTTAACATGTTCTTAGACTTTCACTTTTATTTTCTAATATTGGTAGTTGAAGCTTCTCTTTTAATTTACCAGCAACCGTATTGACGCTACTAATTCTGCCATTCACTTTCAGCCTAACACAGTTATTCCTTCTGTAACCGTAATGAAAATGAATATTGCTTCATTCGCTTATTGTTTTCGGCTTCCAACCTTCCACATTAATTATCGTATATCACCATAAGCTGTATATCACCATAAGCTTACACTTGGAGGACTGGAAATTAGAGACATATAAACGCTTGATGAGACAAAATAGATATTTCTTCAGGACTTTGACCGAGTTTTATGCTTCTACAAAACTCAGTCTGTGTGAAACAAAATTTACAGCCAGTCATGAATGGAAGCCCTTCTTTTTCTTCACTCAAATTCAGGTATTACTTTGAACTATTAATTGTGGGCAGCTAGTACTCACTCATATTCGAATTTCCCAAACAGCACTAATAATCAGAAAAGAAGGGTGGATTGCTGTATTCTTACCATATTGTTCTAGAAATGATAATGACTACAATTATCTAGCGATGACCATCAAAGAATCTTTAAATAGTCATCCATAGATAGCCTTACAGAAAGCTACTCAAAAATTTGAATGACGAATGCAATATACCTCCTACTCTACTTCACTTGAAGGTGGCTACAGCAAATTTTTTGGTTTCAGTTCTCTCTTGAGAACAGAGAACTTGGCAGCCAGATCATCATAGTCAGGCAACTTGGGATGAACATGCTTGGGATGAGGAGGGCATGAATATGTCCTTAACATCTTGTCTTTGTAGTTTTTTGGAACCTCAGATGAAGCTAACCTGCCCATGCGCTCTGAGGCCTCTGCTTTTCTCTTGTTTTCTTTTTCATTCTTGCAATCTGGGTAGGTGAAGGCATTATACACAGCTACACTATTGTCACTTCTATCTGATCCACGAAGTTCGTATACATTTTCATTCCAAAGGAAACATTCTCCACGTGAAACTTGCTGAATTTGTTCAACTATGATGGCTCTCTGTGGATTCATTGGCAAAACTCCCAATCCCAAACTCAAGTTACCATCATAAGCACAGAAACAAGGGTGGTCCAAACTGCAGCCACTCATTTTAGGAATGAAAGATGGTCTACTCTTAGTGTTTTCTGAGGAGCTATGCTGCTTCAATCTCTTTGGATCATAACTTGATTGTTGAATACCTTCTGATAAAAGCCTCTGGTGTTTTCTTTTGGAATGAGCACCACGCTTATGATCAGCGGAGAGACTTCTGTAGGGCTTGTGATAATACAACATGCATCCAATATCCATTATGCCTTGTTTTTCAAGTGAAACTGACCTCCTCCTTGTTCGTTTCTGAGGTTCCCTCTTGCTAACTTCACTGTTATCTTTGTTTCCTTTCACCTGAACAAAGGAATTTACAATACTTTGGAGATATTAAACAAGGCAGATCATTAGGTGTTAATAATATCACAGTGAACGGGGTACAATAGAATTACCTGTTCTTGTTGCCAATCAGGGCAGTACTCGATAGCTAAAAGCTTTGACTGGAGGCAGTAGTCCCTAGCAATTTCATCCACCATTCTGTACTTGAAATCATCTGACACAGATTTCACCGAGAGGTTGTCTTTCAACTGTCAAATTTGAAACCTGATGAACATAAACGTGCATTGCTGAAAGAGCAATGATATCAAAGTTGGAAGTTGTTTTAGTACAAGAAACCTGATGGTTTACTAGGTTTCCAGGAAATAGTTCGGCGGCAGCTGCTGCAAATTTCTCGCCGTAACGATGACCAAAGAGCTTCCTGATGGCACAGAGTTCGGGAACATCCCCACATCTCGCTGAGGCAAATATAACACTGGACACTGCTTCATTAATGTCATTCGGACAGTCCCTGCAATTGGAAACCGCAAAGATTACATCAATGTCTTTCATAGAGAAGAGATAGCTAGAAAACGCTAGGGAGTCATACTTGTGCCTTCTGATATAGGAGAGTTGGGTAAGAATAAATTCACAGAAGTAATCTAACAATTCATACGCAGCGGCTAAGCGTTCATCTTGAATGACTTGCTCAACCTGAAAGTTTGAGGCTGCAAAATGAGATGCTCAATGGAATGGATATTTTATATTTGCATTATATAGCAGTTTGCAACCCGGCGGACATAGATGATAAGTTAAGTCACTAAATCAGAATATCCTTTGATCAAGAAATTCTGGCAGATCGTATCTTGATATTAACAGTATACATAGTTTTGGACTTCAAGGATTCAGGGCATACCCGATTGACAGCAACATGTTGATGGCCATTCTTAATGAGCTCTGCTACATCCTGGCGTAATAGCCTCGCTGTTGCGAGCCTCCTGTTCTTGAGTAGCTTGAGGCAGCACCGAGCTCTTTTGATCACCTTCTTACTGTAGTTTAATGTAGTAAAACATAAAAAGGAAGTGAAATTAAAATTACTAGAGCAGAGAAGAAAACACATGATTGTATCTGTCATGAAAATAAATATGAAGTTTTGAACTGAAACTAATGGTCACCAACTAAAACTAATTACCATCTGGAAGCTTTTGACCACCCAAACAAGAAGTCAAACATGTCTATGATAGAGTAGAGGTTCCTGTGCTCATAATGTAATGACAAACGTTATAGTTGAAGCAGGTTTTGCAGAACAGGGAATGAAAATGTAACGGAAGAGTGAAGACAGCAACCATGAGAAATGGCGTACAGCGTTGAAGTTGTGGAGATGGTGTGTTGAGAGTGGGAGAGAAGAAAGAGTACATCTCCTTGAAAAACTGTTCCACTACACTGGATTTTAGGAAAAATCAAGAGTGGGGTAGACAATGTTTTCCCTAAATACGGAACGATTTATATATACTTTCATTTATAACCTACATGCTCTAACATATTTGAATTAATTTAGTTTTATCATAAATCACTTTACAAATAAACATTTCCCGATGCTTTTTTCTTTGTGGAATTTTTTTTTTCATTTTTGAATAAGGAAAACAAAGGAAATTTACAAAGTTAACTAGTCATAATTTTCAAGACTCTTTGATTGGATTAGTATAAGATAAAAGATTTTTTTTTTGTTGGAAAAAGGGAAAAAGAATGGTTTTGGAAGCTATAAGTCAAATGGAACAAAATGAAAATAAAATATGAAGATAAAATTAAAAATAAACACATGAAATTAAAATAATAAATAAATCGTTAGAGTAACACTGAAAAAATTAATGAGACAAATCAGTGTTGCTGTACAAAAAATACGTATTTGTAGTAAATAAAAGATGATTTTTTTTTTTGCAGTAAATTTTGCCGCATATATTGAGAAAAGGATTAAAAAGATATTAAAAGGAGAATATTAAGGAATTTTCCTCTACTAAAACTTAAAATCTAAAGCATATGGTCTTAATGTTTAATAATATTTCATCTATATTATATATATATTTATATTTTTTGCTGAAATATATACATACACATATAAAAGTATTCATATGCATTACGTATATTATATCAATAAATCAATAAATATTTAAAAAATAGTGTTCGAATAGCCAGTAAATAATAATACTTAGAATTACAATTATAATTTTCGCCACCCATGTTACTTCACTCTCTGGCCTCTCATTATATCAATTTGAATTAGAATATAATGCTTGTCTCTATCCGTTGACTCTTCAAAGTTTTTAACCTTTCATGCTTTCTGTAATAGTACGATTTACGTATGTATCTAAGAGAATTTAACGGTGGGAATCGTAGCTATACTTCAAGCGCCAAAAGCCTATATTGGCATTCTGCATGCATGAAATCTCTGCATTTAATTACTTACCGCAAAATCTGCTCTTTGCAATTATTGTTTAGGGTTTGTCCTCCTTCTTGTATTTATGATCTCGCGCCTTCAAAACTTCAGTTTAGGGTGCTTTAGTTTGGCTCCAATTAATATTATTTGGAAAAACATTGTTTAGAATAGAAGGCGAATTCCATAATTGAGTTTCTTGGTTTAATTTGCTCCGGTTCTCTTTTGAAACGTTTGCAAAGTGTTTTCTTCTATATATTAAAAAAAGTCAGTCCAATAATATATTTTCTCATAGCTCTTATGCCTTGTTATTTACAAATTAGGAATCAGAAACGAAACAGTCTCCCATTTTTTCTAACCAAAAAAAAAAAAAAAAAAAAGGTTCCCATCACCCAATTCAACCACCATCCCTTTCTTGGCTACTTTAATTTCTGGACTATGATCAATAAAATGCCTCATGAGATTTTATAGATTGTACATGGCTAATAATTATTAGAACTAATGACGGGGAGGAAGGTAGTTAGCCTCACTTCTAATGGGCATCAATCTCTATTTCGTGTGCTACTTCCACGCTCAGTCTGTCAGCTCGATCATCTTGTCCACCTGCGAAGCTATAAACTCGAAATGCAAGCTGAAAAGCCCTCCAAAGCATTTTAAAGCTGGTCTTTCTTTTACTTTGATTTTTACCCCCGGATTGATCTGCATCACTAGCCGCTGTCTGTCTAACTTCCTGATGCAAACATCCTACGACAGGTGAATTTTTTTTTTTTTAATCGGTGACTGGGTAAATATCATATTGAATTAGCTAGAGTTATTATTACCTTGAAGGCCAACTCCATGCAACTTGAAGAAGCATCTACCAAAGACTCTTTGATATTTACCAGGATGCCAAAATCAAAGTTTATATTGTTGCTTTGAAATTTTTTAGCATCTTCATCTTTTGATCCTTCCATTGCGTCCAATGCGCCTTTTATCTGTCCAACATCGTGTTGTCAGGCTCATTTTACCGTATTGACAGGTAAGAGGTAGGGAAATGACTGGCGTTTTGCCACAAGCCAGAAGAGTTCACCTTGTTGAAGTAGGATTCCACCTTGCTGAGGAGCTGCTCCACAGGAGGCATTATTTTCCAATCCTGTAGGTCCGTGAGGATCCCATTCAACTTCAAATACAATGCTGCTGCAGCCCTCAGTGATTCAAACTTTTTCATAGGAAATCCCTCAAACCTTGATAACACCTGCATCACCATTAAAAGCCCACATCTTTTCAATTCTTTTTCTCTTCTGTCGCCTTCCAAATATGCGGGAAAAGAATATTTTTTCTTCTCCTCATCATTCATGGATTAATATTAATAGTTTCATTAAGAGAAATATATGATGGATTCATAATCGAACTGAAAAAATTAAGTAAAATATAACCTGAGTCTCATCAGTCAATTTCTCCAGATTCTTTTCCTCGTGCTTGTGAAATTTGACGAGCTCATCCATATCCTTTGTTTGGAAGGAAGCGATCGCAGCTTTAAGTTCCAAGATTGATTTTTCATGCTTCGCTACATCTTCCTCAATCTTTTTGAAGTATGATGATCTCTATTAAATAGAATGAAGCAAACTGATAGTTAATTAGTAACAATAGAGTTCCTGTTTTATAGAACAAATATTCTAAGAATATAATAGATGAACAAAGATAATTGTTGTTGCAGCTGGTGGTATGCTACAAGACCTTTTCGTTATCTCCGTTAGCGCTTCAGCCATCCCTTCTTTCCCTTTAGGAGATGCCCCGAGCTTGATTTTTATCTGTGGGGAGGTTCCATTCCCAGGCTTTAAACTAGAGCCTTCAACTTTACCTTTCAGATGCCTGTACAAAGCGCCCATTTGGCTTGACCTCCTTAGTTTTGAAGCTGCTCTCTTTAAACGCACGATCTTCACCAGATTAAGCTGAGAAGGGGAAGGTGGCGGTGGCGCTCCCTTAGTCATTGTCATGGGAGGAGGAGGCGGCGGCGGAATTATTGGTTTCTGATCCATTAGAAGGTGGAATCGGTGGTGAAGATGATAGTGACACTCTAGGTCTTGGTGGAGTAGGTGGTGCTGGAGGCGGGAGGACAGCTGCTGGACGTGTCGCATCAGGCTCTTTACTCGCTTCATGTTTTGGACTTTCTGAATCATCATTTTTAGTGTTCAAATGTTCTTTCAGCCCTCCAAAGCTCAGTTTCTCGGGTCCTTCTTCGAGTTGGTCAGTTGCAGTTATCTGGGTTGCCATCTCGCGAGCTTCACCGACGACACTGGAATCCTGTTCTGGTTTCCTTGGGAACGCGTTGAGTTCTTCCAAATTTCCAATCTCTTGATGATTACTGAGGTGAAAAGTATGAGTTTGAGAGGAAGAAACATCAGAAATTTCTTCGAGATTCGCAGCAGCGTTGCACAGGGGAGAGATTGAAGGCGAGGCATATGGATATGGAGAAGAGATATTGTTCCTTGAATAGATGTCACTTAATTTGTTCTGGACTTCACGGCAACTTCCATATTTCCATTGTCCTCATCTTCATCAGTAACACTAAACATCTCTTTTGCAGATGTATTTAGGAATGAAAGCTTGGCCATGAGTTTGCCAGCTTCAATGCATATCATTAATTATTATAATTAGAGCCAATTAGACAGCTAGTTAAATTTTCTCCCATTCAATTTAGAAATAAAAAATTTTCTTACCAAGTTTATCAAACTCAATATTCTGCAGGCTCTCTTGTTCTTCATCCAGGGAGTTGCTTATGTCCCATAATTTCCCAACAGACTTCAATGCAGTGTAAAGATATACTAAACCCTGTTCGATAAGACATTCCGATCTTAATTATTACCATTAATATAATGAAGCAATATTTGAGTTGTCTAGATCAATATGTGAATAGTGAACCGCAACCTGAGTCACTGCATCTTTATGGGTTGCTGTGGAGAGATCGAAACGAACCATATTGGGGTACAGCTTGTGAAGATCTACTATGGTTCTCACAGCCAACTGCCAGAAAAAACATAACATGCATCTCTAGAGTCAGAAAATATTGGTGGCCAGGTTATGGAAAGGGAAATTTGACCCTACTATGTTTTGATATTGTCATATAGAAAAGTTTTCCAGTACATGAGTAAGATCGCTCGAGTTAGTGTACGAAGGAAGTTCGAGAATGTCTCTGAAAGTTAATATCTTGCTGTTCAGCTCCATCAAGGTGTCTGAATCTTTCTTGAAGTTCTGAAGCCCTTGTGTCTATATAGTGGGAAAGTAGACCAAAATCATGGCAGTGCAATTACAAATTATAAATATAGCAGTTAAAGAACTCTACTATTTCTCTTGAGATTCAACAGAAACACATCTAAGAGAAAAGTATGTGTAACAGTGGTGAGCCATGAATAAGCGGACATCGAATCCGCTGGAAGGGTTGTGGCCAAACAATGGCTCTTCCATAAGTAATGAAGGCGCCATGTTTTGATGATTATGACAATACAAATATAACTGCCGGATGGAGTTCTGCGAGATCCACCACCAATCATGCGACCATCTTCTTATCATCCAACAATGAAGAAAATAACTTAAAGTTATCAGCGAGAATGCGAAGGTGACGTTTTTAAGAACGGCGACGTGTGGAAGTTGAAACAGACAAGAGAAGAATCTAAATTTTCCAGAGAAACCAGCAGTGAAAAATTCATTAAAGAACGCAAGAAATTGGAGAAAAAGCAGTCAATCCGAGACCGGCACCGGCACCACCCCCTCCTTCTCACCGGCTTCACCACCGGGGATAGCTGCGCAAGATTCCGGTAACTTAATATGGCCAACCTACGACTAGCCTGAAGTTTCGGAGTCCAAGTGTAGAACAGCTGCCACATGTGCAAATGCCGGAATCTATGAGCGTGAAATGGAAAGTAGTTTCTTTCCCTGCAGTATAACAGTTTTTTTTTTTTTTTGGGTAGGAATGCAGTATAACAGTACATTAGCTTTTTAAATTAAACTATAATGAGTGCCGGGGCCATTTCCATTCTTTGGCAGCTGAACAGTGATAAATTAAAAAGTGTTAACAATGTTGTAACATCATTTTAACAAATGAGTTAAAAATTTAAATATATAGCAAACGAACCTTCAAAGCCTGTTTATTTAAGCTTTTTTAAGGGGAAAAAAGCACCTTTTTATAAAAAAAAATCACTCTTAACAAATTTTTATCATCTTTGAATGTGTTTAGATTCAATTGGGAAAACTTGATTAGCAAAACGTAATGATGTTTGGATAATATTTTTTGAAATTAATTTTGATTATTGAAGATGTTTGAGTAATTTTTTAGAATTAATTATAAAAGTGGGGGAAATAGAACATGTTTAAAGATTAAGAATTAATTCTCAAATGGAGAGCAAAGTAGTTTTTTCAAAATAGAGTTTCACAGGCTATATGAAATCTTGCAAAATTGAGGTTGCTTGGATAATTTTTTGCAAAACTATAATTTTGGTCATATAATTGATTCCAAATGAAAAGACTTTAAAAATAATCAAAATTTAAAAATAATCAGAGATTAAATTAAATATTTGAAAAAGCTAAAAGTAGTTTATTAAAAATAAACCATGCGGCAGATGAAATATAAAATAACAAAAACACGGCTATTTTCACATAGCCTTTTGAACGACTTTTTTACTCTTCCGCATCATCTTCTGTCTTCTCTTCCTCTCAAGTCTCAAGTTTGAAGAGCTGTGGGAGCTTTGTGTTGCCATCCAATCTTCAACCATAACTACTCGGCAAAGACAATTCATATACCTGACTTTGCCATATTCTTTCTCCAGAGGAACTCCGCGCTTGTGCCCGAGATTGCTCTGTTTGAGAGCTTCCTTGCAGGGACCCAACTTAGAATATTCATCAAGATCTGATTTTGATTGGTCAGTTGATCGGTAAATGGCCTCAAGGAAGGTGAAGAGCGATGGCAGGAAATGTCAAAAGCTGAGAGAGACATCAGTGTGTGTTCATAGCATTAGTGTGTGCAGACAGCAAGTAGAATTGAACCAGCATGTGAAAAGGAGAAGTTAAAAGAACAGAGCAACATTGCGTGCGAGATTGGAAAGAGAGTGTGGGGCCTTTTCATCCCTCCCTCTGGGAAAAATGATCTTTTTATATATATGGTGGCCAAATACAAAATAATTTTTATTTTTTTAAAATATCTGAAAAACAAATTACTTTTTATAAAATTTCTAGCCTATTTAAAAATTATTTATTTTTCAATTTGGGCCTTAGTTTTCTTTTTATTTTTTTCTGTATTTATTTTTCATTTTGAATATCTCTTTTAAAGATAAATATTTTTTGAATATCAATACTAAAGACTTATTTGATCAATAAATTTTAAAATTCGCTGTTCTGTTTGACAAAATTATGTTAATTCCATGCTAACATCATCATCATCTTCTTCTCCTTTTTTTTTTTGCAAGAATTATTTTTTGCATATATATGGGGTAGACTCAGCCAATAGTAAAAAATATCTTTCAAGTTATTGAGATCAAATGATATATCTCTCTCAAGTCTCAACTAAATTGCTATATAATGTTAATTTTTTTGGTAATTATATAATGTTAAATTTATAACAAATAAACCTTGAATTTCCTTTTAATTTTTTTATTTATTTTATAGATTTTTATGATACATATCTATCATTAGTTAATATTAAATAAAATTGTAACATTTTAAAAATTTAAAAATAAACAATTGAAATGATAATCACTCATATACATTTAGTAATCATCCATTCAATTTTTTTAAAGAAATCGCGCATATTAAATAAGTTTCCTTCTTATATATTTGTTTCTTTGTTCTTTTCTTCCATAATTTCTTCATAATCCCTTTTTATTAAAAATAAAGAATAAAACAAATTTCAACATATGAATAATTTTTTAATAAGTAAAATACAATTAGCTCTCTTCCGTTTTGCTTAAATTAGTCTAGTATTTAATACTGTTAGGAATATTCTGTTAAAAATTCTCAAATACTTTAATTTTTTATTTTAATTATGTTAAGAAACTAAAAATTATTAATTTTATCTTATAATCAAATTGTCTGCTCCCCCCTCAATTTAAGTAACGTTAAATAATTAAGTATGACAATATTAAAATAAGTAATTTAAAATAATGTCTTCAAATTAATCAAATTTAAAGAAAAATAAGCATAAATTATGCTAAATAACTTATTTCTAATTATATTACATCCCTATTTCATTAAGTTTTTTGCACATATGTATTTGAAATATTATTTTAGACAAGTTCTATGTATTTATATTTTTTAAAAATAATTCAATATATAAGTTTGCAAAACTAAAAAGTTTAAAATATAAATGAATAAAGTTTAAAACATCTATGCATTATTATTATTTTTTGATATCTTGAATGATTTTTAGGTAACATCTACATTTAAAAAAATATTTTGATCTAATATATATGACTTAATGGTTAACTAATCATGGAGTGGATAGAAATAAAATTTTAAAATTAAAGGAAGGTTTGTATTTTAAAACTATTAATTTTAGGAAGAGATACCTATATGTTTAAAGAAAATAAAAAAAATATAATATTATGGTAAATTAAAAGAGAAGTGAATATATTTTTAAAAAATACTTGTTATGTCACGTGTTCCACTTTTTTCCTTTTTAATTTTTTATCTTATCCATTTAATACCCACGGGTTTTGTGCCATCACGTCCGATAGTCACCGGCTTCAATTCCTGTGGAAGGCCAACTCCACTCCTTATCTTATCAAATAGTGCCATAACGAACGATGTAAAGGCATTCTTGTCGTGTTAATAATGGGATCATCAACCCTGTTTTTGGCGCTCTATGTCGTCAATTTATTTTTTTAATCACTTAGGCCTTATTTGATATATAAGTTTTAATTTAAAAAAAATAAAATTGAAATTAAGATTGAAATTAAAATTGAGAATGAAAATGAAGTTTTAAAATTACAGTTGGTATTGAGTAAGATTTAAAAAGAATACTTGCTTTTATTTTATTTTACATTTAAAATAAATAATGAAAAGACTACAATGCCCTTCAAATCATTAAAAGAAGATCTGTAACTTATGGCTTATAACTCATCCACACGATTCCTTCTTACCAAAGAGCACGGTGGTGGTGCAAAAGACCACTATTTTTGCTATTCTTTTTTTGGTTTTTCACCATCTCGTTGGTGATGTATGTCAGTCAAATTGATGTAAAGATCTTTCTTTTCTTTCTTTTCCAACTGGTGATGTAGATCAATTAAGACCTTCCTCTTCTCCTTTTCTAGTCACTAGCAACTTATGCTTAAACCCATCATCATTATCACCTTACGTCATCGTCGTTGTTGTTCGTGGTTCAAGCATCGGCATTGTGCCTGTGTGTGGCTGCCGTAGCTGTTGCTATCACTCACTGTCATTGTTGTGATTGTGAGGAGCGGTGGAGGCTAGAGGGCGAAGGAAGAGACAAGAGATAGCAAGTGGAGGGCAGAAGCTTGCGTCATGAAGGCTGAGTAACTAAAACATCAGGCCCAATATAAATAAAAGGGGTAGGCTTCGAAGCTTGATAAATGCCACAATAAATAAACATATTAAAATTTCGTCAGTTGCAAACATTGGATCGTTGGAACGAAAGGACACAATCTCAAGCAATGCCAAAACCTACGGACTTCAAGCCCAAGTATCTTGGTGAAACAGGCTAATTACCAAAATGGAGAGTATGGAATAAAGACTGTGTCATAAGTTTCGCGAGATCTCTAATTCTTCAGCAAAACATGCTAGGTTTTAAAGAAAAGACTACCACCACTCTAATACTATAAATAAAAGATGAAGAAACTAGTCAACACTCAACCAAAGACTCGCATTTTTTACTTTTTAGTCTTTTAGTTTATCAGTTAATCATTCAGTTTAAACTTGTAATTTTTTTACATTTTAACAAAATCAAACACTTATTCTATTAAAATCTTGTATCTTTTTACATTTGAATAAACTGTGATAAGAGAACTCAAAACTCTTTTATTATTAATTGAAACTCAATATCTCTAGCATGCTTGATGTTTGTTATTCACCACGAATACATACTAAACATAAAAAAAATGAGGTTGCTCAATACCAATCTCATTCCCATTTTATGAGTGCTTTATACCAAACAGGGTCTTAATGTTTTGTTTCATAGGTGTTGCAGCCTCCTAAGTGAGATGTTAGTCATATAGCTGGATGTGGAGATGTCATGAGAGATCATGGAGAAGAAGAGGTGGCATTATTTTTGCAGTATACAAGGCAGATCATGGAATTCAAGATAATTATGCTCGAGTTTGATGCTAAATTCGCTGTCGTTATATAGTTTAAATCACGATGCAATGAATAGCAATGGAATTTGCTTCACCTACTGATATTGTTCATGCTTTGATTGAAGTGGGAGGTATGCGTCTCATACATATAAACTAAGGTAACAAAACTGCGCGGCCGATATGTTGGCAAAAGGACACTCATCACTTGAGGAACCATCGGGTTGTGGACCCTGGTTGTGGGTACAGAGTGCTTGGGTCTAAATTCTCTCCATTTTTAATCTCACTTGCTGGGCCTTGCCCTCTTTTGATTTTGTTTGCAAAATTTAATTCCTAACCAACCTTATTTATCTTCAACCCACGCATTATATTAGAAAAGGTTTGAACTAACTTTAAATACGCCGCGCCCTCGCCACTTGTATAAGCGCCAACTTCCTTCCTCTCACAATTTTATTTAACGTCTTTGTACATATTTAGAACTTTTTTCCCGCTTGTTATTATATATTTTCTGTTAAAAAATATAAAATATATTTAATCGAATCTCACCCTTTTATAAAGTAGTTACCTACTTTCAAACTAATCGTATCTTTTCATGTTTATTTTTATTAAATACCCTACAATAAATATAAAGTCATTCATTAATATGAGTACTTTTAAAAAAAACAATAATTATACCTCAAAAAACTAAAAATACCTTACATTTTTTAACATCAAACTCCTCAAAAAATACCTTATATTTTTTAAACAGAGGGAGTACATTTTAACTAATTTTATTTTAAAAAGTTAGTTATTGAAATTTAAAATTATACATTATTTTTATATTTACTCTTGTTTAGTATGTTTTTTCAATTAGAAAACATCATTACTTAGATCCCTAATTAAGGGAATTTTTTAAGAAACCATATTAATTATACCCTAAAAAAATTTAAAATATGAGATAATTTGATAAAAATAAGATTTTATTAAATATAATTTTTTAATACTATTCTTCTATATTTATTATATTATCTGTCCCTCTCTCCCTATTTAAATGAAACGTATTTTTTTAACAAACTTATATTTTTTAAAAAAATAAAATTATAAAATTTATTTAATAAATTTTATTAATATTATTTAAAAGTGTCTTATATAATAAAATGAAGAGAATAATATATAATAAAATAAAATAATTTATATATAAATTTAAGTCTTGAAATTTTGAATTGAATTTTGAATTGGGGTTTGAAGAGTGGCTCCTCATTCAATAGTAGTAATATACATAAATTGTATGATAAGTAATTAAGATGCATGGTTGAATAGATAAGGATGCATTTACACAGGACAAGGGTTGAATTCTAGTGGTGGACATTTGCTTAAAGTGGCGAGACCTACCCTAATCAAACCTACCCAGGCTGATCAAGTGTAGCCGTCTAGGTGAGCTAATGTTTATTGTAGTACGATTGAAAAAATAGATTTAAGTCTTCTAAAATTGACATTAGTGAGTTTTTAAAAAGTTTTTTTTAAAAAAATTATTTTATAAAAAAATAATTACATGAGGGAAAATATTAAAAAAATTTATGGAAATTTACCATTTTCAATCTCGGAATTTAAATTCTGAAAAGACGAACACAGGAGTGATAAAATTGGAAAAGGCATGCAAATGGAAAGAATGGGAAGTGGTGGAGTGGGAGTGAAATACGCGCGGCAAAGGAACGTGACAGTCCGACTCAAACCAGTACGTCAATCGTCAATCATCAATCATTGAATATTTGAATCTGAATACGGTGCGCTGATCCACGATCCATTTCCGTGGACGTGAACTGAGACCCACAAAAACACCGGAAAACCCCTTTTTATCCCCTACTCCTTCCTCTGCCCTTTCGCTTTCACCTCTCAATCTAACTTCTTCACTCATTCCCTTGTTCTCCTCATCCCATGTCTCCCTCCACTTCCCATGTTTCCCCTCAACCCTTCGCCCTCCAGTCCCCACTCCATTGCCTCATCAGCTTCAAAACTCTAATCCATGCTCTTCCCCCTGCATTGCCCCCTTTGTTTAGCTTTTGCCCAAGTAGCAAGCCCCCCGAAAATTTCCAAAGCGCCTATCTTTATCCACAAACACTACATTTTCACTCTAGGATTTATTTGGAATCCAATGTCTCAATTACAATTATTGAATTTTATCAATTCTTAATAATCATGGAAATACATTTTCCTTCAAAAATTTAGAATAATTTGTACCCTTCTGTTTAAAAATATAAGACATTTTTTTAGGAGATAGATACATTTTTAATCTTTCGAAATGTAATCATTACTTTTTTTTAAAGTGTCACTATTGATGAATGACTTTATATTTATTATAAGATATTTAATAAGAGTAAATATAAAAAGAGAATATTAATTTAAAAGTAGGTAACTACTATATTGAATTGTGAGATTCAGTTAAAAATACCTTACATTTTTTAATCAAAAAAAATATAACTAAAAAACTCCTCACATATATTATGTCATTTAAAAATTTAAAATTTAATACCATTTAAATAATATATTCGCTATTTTTGTTTCCAAAAATTATAGATAAAGATACAATTTTTATTTAAAAAAAATAACTCTCCTTTTGCATCATGCGCCTGTTAAAATGAAAAACAAATATGAAGAAAAAGGAATAAAATGTGAAACATAGAATCTAGGGGAGCGAAGGGCCCTCCAGTACGGCGCTCACCATCTGGGAGCAAAATTTGGAGATATTTGGTATGGTGCGGGGTAAATTAGGGCTTTTTGGAGCTTCTGGAGAGGTCACCACCGTCAAATCGGCTACAATGATGTCAAGGTCATCAGCATTCATTAGCTTCAAGCTCTGTCCATAGTCCATCATCTCCTAGAGCCCTCCAGTAATCTCAAAACCGCACTTCCTCTTTTGTCCTCGGTGCGTGCCTTCCCCAATCTATCCTTCCCACTTTGACTAATTATGAAATTTGGGACTTTGTTTCTTTTGCCTCAATGGCTGAAAGTCCAGTTGATGCGTTGATTTTTATTTAGTTGTGAGCGATGTCCTATCCCCACAGCACCGTAGTCCCCGTCTGATTTTGGGCATGTTGACAACTTGACAACGCATGCTTGCGTGGATCCTAAAATGAAAGCTCAATAGTTTATGCATGTACGCGACGCTACAGCTGTATCGAACTCACTCTCCTACTATTGGCCTCAATTTAAGATCAGGATTCCTTTGTTATGATCGATGCTCCTCCATTTCGTGCGCCTTCTCTGAGTGCACTTGCGTTTCATTCCTTCTCTTCATTCCTTTACGGAATCCAATCCCAAATGGAGCTCCTTTCAACCATATGTGCCTCTTTCTGCCCTCTTGGGGAAGGCTTGCTTTACGTGTGCCCTATGAGCCGCGCTCCGTCGTCCGACGTCACCAATTTTTGGACGACCATGCTTGTTTCACAGAGAGGTACATGTTCCCATCCCCTCTTTAACTGTTTCTTCGTTTCTTTGCCGTTTTTGGGGTCTTATTTATCCTCACTTGCACCTCACACGCATAAATCGCGGGACTAGCCGTCTTGTAGTTTACTCCAGATAGTGATCATGGTACAGCGTACTACAGGGCTCGAGTTTCCGGCCGCAGATGCCTTTTTTTTTTTTTTTAATAAATCGCTCTTTGAGAAATCTTGGGATGTCCAAACAAACCGCACCACCCCTTCTGGTGAAGCCTTCACGTGACTTGCGTAAAACCTTCGTATTTAAAGACTAGTCTCTTCTGTAGTCTGTTCTTTCCAAGGTTATCGAGGGACACCCACGTTGGAATGGAACCTTACACCATGTTTCTAGATGACCAGTCTCTGTGATCGATCTCTTTCACAAGAAAATAATGACATATTATGCATCCAGTCTCATCCCAGCTTATTCAAGAATTCATCTACTTGTTATTGATCTCTGTTTCGTGGCAGCAGTCAATGTTATGGCACCTGGAATGGGGGAGCAGTACAGTGTTAAACATGTTAGTCAATAAGGTGACAAGAAGTCCGCTAGCAGTCCTCTAAGGTAAGATCTGCAAGCGAATCCTCTTGCAGTTCATAGTCTGTTATAGCTTCTCTTCTGAAATAAGACTCTCTGTTTGTTTATGCTTCCATGCTCTGCATTAATCCTTGTCATCAATAAATTTATGTAAGCCAGGACATAAACTTGCAAAACTAATCCTTCGGATAAGCACAAACCAACTTCCGATTAGATTTACGTGTTGAGGCGTCTTGTTTGGGGTCGCTGTGATAGCTCGTTTTCATATTTTTTCACACACCCCTTCTTCAGTGAATCATGACATTCTACTTGCATCAGAATTATCCTTTCATTCTTATCTCTTTCGCGCCGTGGCAATATATATATATATATATATATATCTTTCGCTCATGGCCATAGGCGCTCATCCCATTGAACTGCACGTATAAATCTGGCTGTTTAGTAAGGATGGGGATCCCAGCTAGATCGGATCATTATCTTAAAGTTCCTTTTTTGGTGTGTGTTTTGACAATTTCCCTTAACTTGTTTTGACAGATAGAGCATTTAGAGTGCTCTGACTCCAATTCTCTTTTGTTTGGTTGTACCATCCCTCTTATTTGAAAAAAAAAAAAAGGAAACAAAAGAAAAAAGGAAAAAGAATGGAGATCCTAGAACCCTCTGGCTGCTTTTTTTTTTTTTTTTTTGGTGTGTATGGGATTGAGAGCGCTTGGATTCGAACTCCTAGCTTGACTTGTTAAAACAAATCACTTTCACCACCAAGCCACCGGGTTCACCTGGCTCTGCGTGTTATTTTGATTTGCTATTTATGGGTCTTAAATATACTTTCAATGGACGCATACATAATTATATTTGCAAGATAAGAGATTGGCTGGGCTGAGCCCAATATTAGGTCCACAGACCCAAAGGCAAATATAAAGACCCCAGGGTGGGGGGACAGAGTCGCTATATGATATACTGTGTTTCCAGAGTGCAGTTACAGAAAAATATTGATAATTGCTACAGATCAGACCTATGTTTAATGTGTGTTTGTTTGGTTCCCAGTTGGGAATTTGATTAAATAACTTTTGAGATAAATTTACCCTCATATTCCTTTGGTTAACATATAGGTTTGACTAAAGCAAACTGGATTCTAACACACAATTGCGTGTGGAGTAATGTTCACACACACATGTATATATTTATGAGAATTGTTTGGTTTTGTTAAAGGTTAAGAGGCTAAACCATGTCATTTAATCTTGTTCAATGAAAAAATAAATCAGATAATGCTAGTCAATGGTCATATTCACCGTTTTGTAAAGTTTATTTTGACGGTAGATTCTGTCGCTTTCCAGTGAAGTTGGTAATATCATATCAGAGGACATGAATGATGGCTGCAATTGATTAAAGCTGCTCTTCATGATGCGTGCTTTGTCATGCAGCACCAGAGCTGCAGGACTAAAGAACAACACATACTTTGAAGGTTTTAATCTCTACCGCCCACCTCACCCCTCCACTTTCTCTGTTTATCGTTTAAAAACTCAATAATGCAATAACATAAACATCGATGCTTGCCTTTGAAGATTTCAGCCACCCACGTCTCTCTATCGTATCAACTCAATAATCCAAGGAAATCTGCAATTTTAATTCGGACCACACACTGTCTGCCACCTTATCTTCCTGTCTATTCAGCTATTGTCATCAACCACACACGCTCCTTGACCCTATCGTCTTTATTAACCGCTCGCTTGCAACCCAACTTGCAAGTTGCAGCACACAGTTTGGCGACAACCGAAAGCCTTGTTGTGTGTGAACTAAGCCTTCTGCGCTTGGAAGGCAAAAGTATCTCTGTCCGGAACTGACTTATTTGCTTTCTAATTTGTTTTTTAGATTCAGGGACCAATACCATGGAGAATGTTTTTTCCAAGATGTGTTCACCAGTGGCATTGAAGGTATTATGTAAAGCTAGAGAAAAATATATAAGTTGCTTTATGATTGATTGGTCTTGGGGTTTGATTACTGCAAATCCGTGTGTGCTTTTATGTTTGTGCTGAGAAAGAAAAATTTAACGCTTTTGTCTATTGGGAAAATATATAGTCGAATGTTTGGCATGGTAAGATAGAGGCCCTGACTGAAAGAGTTGAAACAGGACTGGGCTGAGAAAAGAAAGAACTTTGAGGCCTTAAAATTTAAATCAGTACAGACTAAAACAATCATACCAGCTATTTTTTTTATCTAGGATAGTAAACAAGGCTATTTCTGGGTCTTCCCACAGTAGTCAAGTTTTAAAATTGGCCAGTGTTCTGGCATATTACAGGAGTTAGTGTTATGTGAGTGGTTACAAGTTTGCGTTCTTCTAACCTTGCTTTTGAAATTATTTTTGTGTATTAAGTTGTTGTCACTCTTTGTTGGGGTGTGATTTTATGGCGAGACTAGCTTTGATTTCTGTGTTTGATTGCGAAGGACTCTAACTGGATGATAATGGATAGGTGGCCGCATGCGGTTGATGGCAATGTCATCAGAGAGCAACCCACCCAGCTTCATCCTTTGTATTTTATACTTAGAATTAGAATTGGAATCTGATTAATTGCTTGTATTTAAAGAGATTTGTATGGTGGTTATAGTTTATTACGAAAACGATTTTGATACAGGAGCAGCAGAATTAATATTCATTTCTGCTATCTTTTCGCTTGGATGACCAGCACAAACTCGTATTTCTTTAGTTAGGCTTCTCGTGTGAAACCGTTGATTCCTTCTAATGTGAGATCAAGAGCGACCGAAAATATTTCCCCCCTTTTTTGGCCCAAAACATATGCGTTTTTAAATACTGAGCTTAAATTTAAGTTTTTAAAAATATTTTTACCATTTAATTTTTTGACTAAGCTGTGACTGATATTTAATTATTTTTCAGAAAAATAATATAATGTTGAATAATGATTTTTAAATAAAAAATTTATTCGATTATTTCATATCATCATTACTAAAGTTTCATATGGTTTTTTTTTTTTTGGTTTGGGTAATCAAAGTTTCATATTTTTATTATTATATTAAAAAAATAAACCTTTTTTGGACAAAGATTTCAAAAGTACATGGAATGGTAGGTAATTTTTTATAAAAACTTTTTCTTTATAAAAAAGGCAGTCCCTGACAACGGGAATTCACTCGCCTAACCGGAGGTGCTTGCCTAATTTCAATTCAATTTTCAATCTTAATTTCAAAAACTGTTTTTTGAAAAAATGATTTTCTTTAATTTGAGTCGCTTAGATAATTCTAGATGCTGAACTTTTTGTTTATTGATCACGAACGAAAAACACAGAATGATGCGGTGACTGATGGAAAGTTAGATTAATGGTATACTTTTTGGAGTTTGAAAATTAGGATGTTTTAAACTTCACTGAAATTCGGCCAAAAAACAAGACTACCATAATTGCAAAGTCATCAGAACTTGCGTTTCTTGTCGTGTTTTGGAAAATCACCTATAACCATGTTAATTATGTATTCCGCATGCCTCTTACACTCACAACACAACCTGCCATACCAACCTTTGAGTCTAGTGGCTCAGAACCTTTTATGGAGGTCATAAATTTAAACCTATGTTATATATATATATATATATATATATGGATGGATGGATGGGTATATTTGAGTATAGTAAGTGTGTGTTTAATTAGCTCAAAAAAAAAAAAAGAAAAACTTTCTGCCGCTAGTCGCAGACCGCGCTTGCCTGACCCAAGACAGTGACGAATTTGAATGTTGTATTGCAGCAAACTGTCTTACAAAATCACTTATTGAAGAATTAGAATTTTGAAGTGTCTCGGCACCACGGTTTTACCGCGTCCGACTTATAGTTTTTGGGAGATAAAGTCCATTTTGAAAGTAGAAAAGTCGCGGAAAAAATTCTTATTTTCTTTTGGAACAGTTTTTGGCAAAATATGATGGTACAGTATTTTTTTTTTATGCTGGAACTCTTGACACTCAATTTTACATTAAACTAGATTTATACTCTGAAAAAAAAATCACAAAATTTTAGGAAATTATAAAATTTTAATATAGAATTAAAGTTTATTATGCTGATAAATTTTTTTGACAACTATTATGCTGATAACTGATGCGAAGTTTAATAGTATATATATAATATCTATTCAACAATACATGATAAGTACTGTTTAAACTACTCTTTTGTTATATTTTTATTGCTTTTTTTAATAAGAAGCATGATGAATAGTTTTATATAAAAAATCTGTTTTTGATTCTATTTATTTCTCTATTTAATTTTATTTTTTATTTGAATCCGGAGAGTGGATCATTTAAAACACGGCTAACACCAAGTTTTTGACCGTAAAAAATTTGAACACGTACATCACAAGTAACTGCAATGGTCAGGAAAAAGATACAAAATATCTTTGCCGGAGTTCGTAAGAGAATTTACTCATATTGTGTTTTATGAAAAAATAAGCTGCTATATATATATATATATATATATATCTCAAAAAACAAATCCTAGAAAAGTGTGGAGAAAGGGTCGTGAAAGTTTCTCCATGGACGCATGCACTCTTGATTGCCGCTGCGCTTTGTCTGACATGACTAGCTCGGCATCAAATTTTATGACATCCTACAATATTATTCTAACTCTTCATCTCAGATAGTATCGCAGTTAATTTGTTTACTAAAGTAGTTATCTTCCTTGCTCTTTGGTATAGATCAGATCCTAGTCCATTTCTCCATGCTCTCGGTTTCTCTCCTCCTGGAATACTCAAATAAAGATATATCTCCTGTTGGTCTGATCTGCAGGGCCAGCCCGTGCAAGCTAATCCGGAGGAAGTTGACGAATTGCTGGGACAGGTTGAAATATGGCACTTTATGACTAGCTTCACCGACTCTGTTGCCCTCAAAGTTGCTGTGGAGCTCCGCATAGCTGACATTATCGACCACCATGGCCAACCCATCTCCCTGCAAAAGATTGTCGACGACATTGCCGACGCTCCCAACCCTGAAATCTCCTTCCTCTATCGCATCATGCGAGTTCTCGTCCGCCGAAAGATCTTCTCCACCCACCAGTCTGAATCCGGCGAGACCCTTTACGGATTGACCCGTGCTTCCAAATGGCTCCTCCGTGACACCAAGATGACCCTGTCCCCCATGATTCTCCTCGAGAACCACCCCATCCACCTGAATCCCGCTCACCACATTGGCGAATGTATCAGAGAAGGCACCGAAAACGGCACTGCTTTTTTCAAGTGCCATGGCCACGAGCAATTCGACCTCACTGGTTTGGAACCCGACTACAACAGGTTGTTCAACGAGGGCATGGTCTGCACCGCTAGGATTACGTCCAAGGCTGTTATTTCGGGGTACAAGGATGGATTCAACAAGATTCAATCCTTGGTGGACGTAGGAGGTGGTATCGGAGGATCACTGTCTGAGATTGTTCGAGCTTACCCCCACATCAAAGGTATCAACTTTGATCTGCCCCACGTGGTTGCCACTGCACCAAAGTACGACGGAATCACTCACGTTGGAGGAAACATGTTCGAGTCCATTCCTAAAGCCGATGCTATTTACATGAAGGTACCAGATCCAAATTGTTGCTCCCTTAAATTTCTTTTTAATCAACGCATTGTATGTAATAAGAAGTTGGTGTGAGTGCAGTGGATCCTGCATGACTGGAGCGACCAGCACTGCATCCAGATATTGAAGAACTGTAGGAAGGCGATCCCAGAGAAGACAGGAAAAGTGATAATAGTGGACCATGTTCTGCAACCAGAAGGGAACAATGGGCTGTTCGATGAGGTAGGGTATGCATTCGACATGATGCTGCTAGCACACAACGCTGGTGGGAGGGAAAGGACTGAGCAGGACTGGAAGAGGCTGTTTGAAGAAACTGGCTTCCCTCGTTACAACATCATCAAGATCAAGGCTCTCCAATCCATCATTGAGGCCTTCCCAATCTAAGCTCATTAGCTCTCCCGCCATCCATCCATGCACTTGCCCTTGTTTAACCTCCGCTATATTGAATAAAACATCCCTCTGGGCTAGGAACATTTGTAAGCGTGTGCTATGATCCAGCGGTCTACGGTGTGTCTCGTGAGACACCGTGAACCCTATGTGAATTGTAATGCTTCTATTTCTACGTAATGGTAAAATATCTTTTGGTGTGCAAAATTCTCGCTTTTGATCCTCAAATCTCACTCTCACGACTTCACCATTTTTATTCCCACTAATCCCGTAATTTATCAATTCAAGTTCTAAGCTAGCTTTTGGCTCCAATATAATCAGGCTACCTGATATTTAACAAAATGAGGTATAATAAAGCGTATATGGTCCCTCCTGCCAAAAAGACATCTTACACATAATACTTCTTCATAATTTTTTATTATAATAACCAAATATGATTTATTTTGACACTGTGCTATCTTCGCGACAAAATATTTTTTGTTGAATACTTATTACAAATATTATTACCGTACTTAAATATCATCGATTATTAAGGAGATACCCAAGCCCAATACAGAGAAGTTCAATAAGAAGATTATTTCTCATAAACCCAGTAGATAGCACACACTATTTTTGTATTATATGTCCTCGTATTTTATCTGATTGTTCATGCACATGTATGCATTCTATTATTTAGGTTTTTGTACAGAATCTCTATTTAAAGAATAAATACAATCATTGTGCGCCGCATCATCTTTATTCCCACCTCTATTGCTTTTCTTATCTTCGATTGTTGCCAAATATGTTTACCACTTTCAAGTTATGGGGACCAAATGAGATTAAGGGTGAGATTTTCCCCCTCCTAATACTGCGTGTATTCTTATTGAGAAAGAGAAACATTTTTTATTAATTAAATAATGGTCCGTACTAATTTTTTGGGAGGTGGTATAATGATAATCGAAGCGAAGTCCATAGAATCAATATTTCAGAAGCAGCAGCGAGCTGAAGAAGAGGAGCCAACAACCGCATTGGATTGTGTGTATTGCTCTTACATACATTTATATAATATGGCCCTCAAATTGTTGTAGAAAATGAAGGAATGACTGTTAAATATTAAAATAATAAATTAATATTAATTAAGTTTTTTAATAAAATAAATTATAAATATCAATTTAAATAATTATAAATAAAATTTTTTATTATAATTTAAAATTTATATTTGACATTTAAATACTTATTTATAATTAAAACTCTTAAATTTATAATAATTTAAATCGATTTTTAATTTATTTTTTAAAAAAATTTGTTAGAAATTTAATTGGTATTAATTCGCTGGTTTGGATATAATTGTCCTTTTTTTTTCCCTTAATCATACTCCCAAAATTAGACGCAGCTGATGCGGTGCCGTTTGACGACGTACAATTCCTGCAGCCAAGCCAATCTCTGCTGGGCTGTAGGTAGGCAACGGACAACCACCAAAATTCAGTTTCTAAATCGGCTGTGGCTTCCAAAGCCACTGACAGAGAGACAGAAACAAACCCCGAGTCTCTCTCTCCATGATTGTTGTTTTTATAGCCTCTCCTTTTCCATCTTTGTGTTTTATGGCCCCTGCTGCTCTCATCCTAACCTTCACATCGCCATGAAAAATCACCAGCGTCGTTTCTCTGCCGATGCCATAGCAGGTCCTTTTCTGTCCTCTTTCTCTCCCTCCTTCGGGAGATCGTTCCAGATCTTTCAATTTGCTGTGTTTACTTATTCGGTCACTCACGAAAACTTATCAAAGACATTTACTGCGATTCCAAGTCTTTTTCGTTGGTGATGCGTGTTTTATTAGGCGCTGCTAGTGCTATGGTTGGACCCCGATCATGGATTGTTGGATTCTTTCTCCGCCCAACCACCCGACAAAATGACAGGTTTCCTGAATGTCCTTTGCATCCTCTTCAGGTAGTTAAGGATCAGACACTTGATGGCCCCAATTCTTTCCCCGTCATACTTCATTACCCTGTCAGACTATATGATTCTATGGGCATCCGTGTACTATCCATATATGTATAAAATAATGATTATTACAGTATCTACAGATTCGATGATCTGACAAAGTGTTTTCATTTTTTTGTCAGGAGAGAAGGCTTCAGAGGCTTCAAGAACGACTGCTAGTGCCTTTCGATGAGACTCGCCCTGATCATCAGGTGCGCGCGCGCGCGGGCTTGTACGCTGCTTCATGCCTTATCATCTTAATTCATTTCCTGCACACCCTTTCTCTATTTTGTTTAGAACAGACAAATTCAATTGACTTGTCTAGTTGTCGATCAAACAAAATTTGATCTTGAAAAGCTTCGACTTTTAAGCGAGATTCCATTATCTGTGTTGAGAACTCTGAACAGGAAGCGTTGAGAGCATTGTGGCGTTGTGCCTTCCCCAACGTTGCTTTGAGAGGGTTGATATCTGAACAATGGAAAGATATGGGATGGCAAGGTTCTAATCCATCGACCGACTTTAGGTATTCATTCATCACATATTTGCCATTCTATGCTTCGTCTTTTGAACAGTCTGCTCTGCTTAGTTAATTCAATATTCTCGCCACCATTGTCGGGGTCTGCATTAGCGGTGGAATTCTGAACCTTCCTTCTTAGTCTTCTCCTTACTTGAATTGACAGTATTAAACGAAACCATTTACTTCTGTAAGCTTTTCGTTTTAATATTCACAGATTTGGCTAAATAAAGGTATTCTGTCTCAGGGGATGTGGTTTCATTTCCCTTGAAAATCTGCTGTTTCATGCACGGACATATCCGGTATGCGCTTCTACCTTCATCTTCTACTTTTTTGGCGTGTATAGAAGAATTTGGTGTGACTTGTGCTCTTTTACATTTTTAGTTTCCATAGATCTTCCTTATCTAAAAGATGAGCCACTACTAACTTTTTAGCAATTCAAAATGAAGGCATCTTTTCATCGGTTGTTACACAAGAGAGACGGAGATCGATCAACGTGGGAATATCCATTTGCTATCGCTGGCATTAACATATCGTTCATGTTGATAAAGCTGTTGGATTTGCTCTCGGGTTTGTACTGAATAATCTTGACTACGTTATGAGTACATACCCTTGTCTCTGCTTTCAGAAAAACAGTACGAAAAGAATAGCACGCTATGCGCTTGCAGAAAAAAATAATTAGTATCTTTTTTTCTTTGGCTTGTGTGCAAAACGACTATTGCAGACAAATCTCAGAGTGTTGCCAGCACAAACTTTATCAAGTTTTTAAAAGGTAATAGTTTTGCATCTCAGTCTCTTCCTTGGCTTCACACGCACACGCACACGCTCTAAGAGACCAGGTAACCACAGTTAAAAATTTGGATTTATGCCACTTCAAGTGCTTAGAAGTGGAAATGGTGGGTATTGCAGAAGATGAAAAAGCATTCGATGTTTTATACTGTATAGCTTTCGAGATGATGGATGCCAAATGGCTGGCAATGAATGCTTCCTACATGAATTTCAATGTATGTTTCTTTCTTTCCGTACGTGTTCTGTGTATATGTATCTACCCCCCTGTGCCTCCTGCTGCTGCTGTATTATTATCTTTTTTTTTTTTTGGGGGGGTGGTGGTGGGGGTCGCCATCAACTTATGCCATGCACTACCATTGTATTGACTCTCTTTGAAATAACTTGATGGCTACAGGAGGTTCTACAAGCAACCCGAGAGCAATTAGAGAGAGATCTATCTGTAGAATGCATTCACAGAATACGAGACCTTCCAGCTTACAGTTTATTGTACCAATAGCTTTCTCTCCAATATCATTCAGATTGCACATTCTAAGTACTTCCTTTGTATGTAGTACCGTTTTATACACAGTTCCATGCCAATGTATCAATTGAACTACTATCGCCAACCCATCAGGAAGACGGAAGTACTTGAAGTTCTCTAAAAATGACATCATCACACAACTATTTCCAAACTAGAAAGCAATTGCTAAAATTCAGTTAAGCATATTCAAGCTCTCAGTACAAATTAATGGAACATTGTTCGACAATAAATGGATAAAGAAAAAGAAAGCAAAAATCAACGTGTGTGTGTGTGTGTGTAACGCATGACGTATAAGCCACAGATAATGCAACTCAACTTAAATTCTATATGTACCTAGTTTATGTTAATTTGAATAACATGACCTGTGTCAAATGTCTTCCGCCTCAGTGAAATTTTATATTTAATCAATCAACTTACGTACAATGACTAATTTTCCCAGCTCATCAGCGACAACATGAACGTACGTGGTCCCCCCTGATTTTAGCTCCTTCATTGTGCATTGATCTTCTCTGCATTTAGCGTTGCCATCCTCTGCCGCTGTTTTTGCCCCACTTGAATTTAACCAACGCTTTATATGGAGGGACGCAGACAACCAAATCCCAGTACTGGAAGAAGCTTCTTCAAGAGGCTGCTGATTTCTGTCTTTACAATTTTACTGCTCCTTCCCCAATTGAAATTAACATCATTATATAATATATGGTACACCTATATCCAAATCTATATTTGTATTTTTATCAGTTAAAATGGATTTTTTTTAACATTGATATCTAAGAAGAAGAAGAATGATACAAATTCTAAACCCATTTTGGTTACGTATATACTACTGGCTTGTTCAAATTGATTTTCCTGATATATGGGATCCATTTTGCCATGTTATTGTTGTTATTGTGAGGAAATTTTCATTTTACTTTTCAATTTAGGGTTCGTTTTCAGGATTTGTATTTGATGAAGAATTGGATCACTGGTGGTGATTTATGACAGGTCCTAGTGACTAAATGGGTTCAGGTTGTCTTCTTCAGCTGAAATGATACTGTCTTCTCCAAGTACACATAGACACAGAGCACCTATTTTAATTTATATGCAGGGGTAGGGGACAGACCAAAAGATCAAGAGAGAAGCATGTCCCCAACTAAATCAAAGATAAAATTTCTAACACGTTCCCTCCTTAATCCTAAGGAAACTGTTCTTGTGAATATTTTTTAGGGTTCATATCAGCTTGGGCAACAAATTCCATAACATTTAAGCAGGTCCTCGTAAGGCCTTGAGCACATCTAATCGCTTGGACGAGTCATATTCAAATTTCAACATGCATACATAGCTTGCACAAAGCTGAACACCTGTGCTTAGCATATTAATTGGACTTTCACGAGTTCCGAGTTCACCTGCCTCATCCATGCTGTGTATACATTAGATATTTCTTAATAAGATATATGTAGTGGGATTCTAAATCAGCATTAGGACTACTATGAATGTTAATTATTTATGAAATTGTAGATAAGAATGGTAGTGCATTTTTGGGGAGTAATAGCAGAATGCGACAAGTAATTGGAAGCATGTGAGTGAAGTAGAAAGTGGTAAGCATGATTGAAAAGGGAACTGTTCAAGGTAGGAGAGCTCAGCAGAGTCATGATGCATGGCGCCACCAATTAGTGGGAAAGAAAGAAAATAAAACAAAGTCAAAGAATTTGGGTCCAAACAATCCACTTGCCTGCTGCATAACCCACTTTCTTGCATTCCATTATCCTATCCATTTCCATGTCGGTCCTCCTTTTTTCTTAATAGCTAGCTTCTCCATTTTCTAGTTTTTAATTATACATATCCGATCCCGAGCCAGGTCGTTGTGTTGACTTGATAGTCAGGCCCCCAGATTCTGGCACCAAGTCGGTTGATTTTATGCGTTGGGCTCTTGTGACTCGAACAAAGATGAGTGCATAAAATATTTGAGGTGTGGAAGGAAAGGATCCGATATTAGGATGCCATGATGAACAAGGTTAAGTGAGGGGACACAGTTTCTATCTATTGTTGGTTCGCCCACCTGGACAGTGTCGAGACCACAACGCGCGAGCTGTGAATTTTCAATTCTTCCACTTGAAACGTCATTGCACTTCAGTATGAAGCAATCATTGTGCCATCACTACTACTTAATTTATACACTTGGAATCTATCGTGCCATGCTCCTTTCTAATCCCACGTTTGGTTTGATTTAATATTCAGGGTCTTCACTTAGCATTTCGACAACTCTCCTATAATACTATAAATGCGTGAACTAGTTATGATCAAAAAACGATAAAAAGGACGGACATGTCCCGCAAGTCTCAATTAGCCATATATTCAATATTCACAAGGTTAGAACCTCCTCCTCCACTGGACTATAGCCATGTACGAGACTCACAGGGCGATGGATTCCTCTAGACAGAGAGAGAATTAAATTATTAATCATTTGAACTCTGCTTGTAGTAAGGCTTAGCCTTCCCTATTAATATAGATTGAAATTCACACTTTTAAATACAATTGTTTGAGATAATTGTTTTTTTTAAAAGAAAATATCAAATTATGGTGTAAACCGATGTATTTATGAGCCGGCTGACTTGAAATAAACATTAAACAACCCATTAATTTCACTGGTGATGACAAATGGCAGCCTACTTGTGACGGTTTTAAAGTTCACTTTCATTTACCATCCACCGGCTTGCTACACTACAGTTCCTGTGCACTTGATTTTCTAAATTTGATGAGATCATTAACAGTGATCTGATTATGTTATTGGAAGAGCGATCGCTACCAGGTCAGTTCAATTCGTTCATAAATTGTCTGGGTTAATTAAATGAAGTCAAACGTACTAACACTCATGGAAAGACACGTGTGAGAAGTGAGAAGTGGCGAACAGCTAATTATGATAGTGATGCATTTGACTTGGAGAAGCCTTCTGTAAGTGTAAGGCCTTTGTTGGTCGCTGTCTCTTTCCCTGTTTTTCATCGTTTCCCTCAAGTTGGCCCATTCTCGAATTCTGCATTCACTTCAAGCCAGAAAACTTTCCTCCCACTCACCCAAACAAAATAAAAGGAAAAAGAATAGAAAACTTTATTTCAGTCCGTTACATACTTTAACTTAATACTTTAAACTTAATATTTTATAAATGAGCATTCCAAAGAATTAAAGGCAAAGAAAAACTAATCTGATAAGGGTTTCTCGTAGTGTTATCATGGTACGAATGTGACCATAAATGCTTGGGTGAAGCTCTTCACGCGTACTTCACAACCGCGCCTATTTACAGCTATTAAAGGTGTTGCAAAATTGTGTTTTGGATTTGTTAGTCATGTTCGAAGATTTTGATTATACCACAGAACCAGCATCGAAAGCCATTTTAAATGACCCAATAAAAAAGATGGTGTTGATGAAAAGCAAAAGATGCAGAGTGACAGAATGCACAATGGAGTTCAACACGCGGCTGACTGAATCCGTTATGGCGAAAATCAAGTGATCCACACAATCCATATTCCAAGTTCTATGGCCTCGCCCTCTGACTTTTGCCCTCGCTCACTCCACCCCTCTCTCTCCTCTTTACATACAAAGCCTTTCCTTCATCAGAGGCTGTTAAAAAAAGAAAAGAAAAGAAAAAGATGAACACATCCCTCTCCCCTAAATTGCTCTCTAGCCTTGTGTAACAACTATCACACCCCTCAGCACTCTTCACACCCAAAAGAAGAAAAATGGAACAAAGAAAAACGCCAAAATAGTCCAAGGCAATGTCATAGCGAAACTTTGCATCCCCATCCTCTGCAAAACTGTCCTCGTGCAGTCAAAGAGAAAGAACGAAAATGTGGAGCCAAGTATCTAAAACACTTTCAATCTTTCTCCTTTCAAACGCCTCTCCTGCACTGTTACAGAGGATCCATCCTGTAAAACCTTCAGATTCCACAAAGAAGAGATTGAGTGGTCAAATGCGTGCCAAGAACGGATCATACGAAGGATAGATTCAAGGATGGCGAATGCCATTAAAGTAATTGAAGTCATGATGAGAGACCCTTAGTTGCTTCAACCATGAATCTGCCACGCTGAGTAATGACAATATTCTCTCTTGGTCCCTACCATAATTACCCGACACCCACAAACTGCCTTGCATCTTATACGTAGCCAATCCAAATGCTGGCAGAGACATGCCTTCCCCTTCTTTTCTCTTCGCGTGCCCTCCCTCGCTCTCATCTTCGATGTCCATATCTGCACAACAAATCACAGACACACACACCATTCACTTCTCATTCTTTTACAATTCCCCAATTCATGACTCATAGGGATGCACGGAGGACTGCGCTCACTACCTTGGAATGAAGATGACAGTGTGTGGTATGTGAGGAAGCAGGTGGACAGATCTTTGATTGTTCTTCCCATAGGGATATGATATATGGGGTACCTGAAACAGCAGTGCTTATTCATCAATTGAACGTAGGAAATGCTTAGAAATCTCAGTACCCAGATTTTGTTGAGATCAAATCCAATGACAAGCTTACCAGGCAACGGCCATCCAGCTAGCCGGTGAAAGATCCACACTTCTCAAGGACATCAAACCGGGGAATCTTTGAGCTAACCCAGTAACCTGTAAGTGAACAAGAATGACTCAATCATGGAATCTCTTTGGTGCAAGACATAATATACTGGAGGAATTTGTCTTATTCACACAGCAAAAACTATTGACGGGCATCGCATTCAAGGAATAAAAAAAAAAAGTGGGAATATATGCTCACAACTCACAAGAAATATAACAATTGCATTTAAATAAGAAATCAGAATATATATAATTCCTGTTTCCACTTGAAAGAGATAGAAGTCAGTATGGACACAGATAAGGGAATAGGGTATCTAGGTTCATATTGAATAGTCAAAAGTTTATCTTTTATGGATGTCTTTCATGAAAGGAACTCCGGTGATTATACCACAACCAAGTACAAAAGCTTCTTCCCTGTTCCTAAACTAAGCGAAGCACTGAAGCCATTTTAATAGTATTAAGAACAGAAATGGCAGAATAGATAGAGGTGAGGTTGTAATCAAAGTTTAAATAAACAGAGGACAAAAAAGATTAAGGTAAAATGAAGTTAAAAATGTCTAAACAAGGACAAGAACAAACACACGGACCTTATCCATCAAAGGGACTCTTCCATAAGGAGTTGATCTCTCAAAATACTGGAAGTAGAGATGACCCAATCTGTCATTCAGATGCCAGAGACAATCTTGCTCCAACCCTCCTTCCTCTGAAGAACTCCCATCCCACCTCCATAACTTATCACTCTCACTCTCCTCGCTGAAAGAATCACTACACGAATCCCTTGTCTCACTGTCCCCAGACTCAGTCTCTTCCCTGGAAACATCATTCACATTCATCCATTTAAGTTCCCCTCACAAAGCTATTCAATCCAAAGTTTATTGACAACAAGCCCATTTCATAAACATTAAGCAAAGCATGATCTCTCATCGACGAAAACGAGACCCTTTCCGAGTTTAACGGTGTCAGAAAGCATGGGAAGAAACAGGTCTTGATTAAGTCAAAAAAGACAAAAATGATTCAGTATGGTTTCTGGTGTTGGTATGCACACCTGTAAGTATTGCCCGTGAATATCTGAATTGCAGAGAGGTAAGGCACGTAGTACTGTACAAGGGTCTCCCCATTGTTCAAAGTGATCGGAACTCCAACTCCGTACGCACTCCATTCGTCGTAACGATTCCAGAGATCACGCAAGGTGAAATACTCAACGGTTTGTCTCTCCCAGGGATGCCATAAACGATTAAGGTTCCTAATCTCAGACTGTCGAAATATAAATACAATCAGAAATATTTTACAAGCGCACTAAATTAAGATCAAACGTTTCAGGACCACCGGGGGCAAAAAGCACCTACCTTTGGTAGAAATTGGGATCGAACCACAGGTGTAGTACGTCTGAGGAAGCAGTCAAGGTTAGATTGCATTGGCCCTTTATCGAAAATCATCGTTTGGACGGAAAGGAGAAGGACAAAAAGAGGGTGATAAGAAGAAGGTGAAAGGGAAGGGGGTGTGTTTCAGCTTCACTCCCAACCCTGAAAACAGAGACAACCCAGAGGCGAAAATATAAAACCAGGGGATGGGGAGGGGGGGAGAACGAGAAATTGCTGGACTCGGAATGATCTGTTTGGAAGGAGGAGGAAAATATTTGAAATGCAAACGGATTTCGTAAAGACTCCTATTCTTTGACGTTGGGACGCCGAATTTCCCGGAAAACTAAATCTTGCTGTCAATTTATCTATATCTCTCCTTCCTTGTCTCTCTGTTTCCCAGAAAGGTAACTTTGCCGGCAATCTTGTAATTTCACCACTAAAACTTCGGCCGGAGACACTAATTTTCCCGCAATTATAGTCTTAACATTGACTAGGTTCTCTCTCTTTCGCTATTCGACTAAACCTTCAAGAAAACTCAAACCTACTCGTCTTTGTTGGATACTTAAGAAACCCACTTCTCGGACACAGACAAGCCGACGCTTTACCCTTAAACCTACATACAGAAAGAAACACCCAGTAGGATCACAAACACACCCGTACAAATTCCCGGAAAATCGAATGAAAATAGGGGTAGTGAGGGAGAAAATTATCCTAGAATATCCAGAAGGCTTGCTCTGTTTTTAACATGAATGTTCTGTCGCTCCCCGGGAAGAAAGAGCTGAAGAGATGAATGGGAAATTCCCAAAGAGGACAGGTTGAGCTGTGTATATAAGAAACGAATTGCGAAGAAGCGAGAGTGAGGAAAGATATTAATTAGAGTAAGATGGGCAAGAATAAGCACGAGCACTCACGCCCACATAAGATTGCAATATATATTTATATACATTTATTAGATTCATCCGTCTCTCTCGTTCGTCTCGGCCCTTAAAATTCTTAATATTTTACATTTGTATTTTTAAAATCATTCGAGGCCAGGTTTGTTACCCATTCCCAGGGACGCAGTCGTGTGTTTTGCATATTCCTTTAATTTTTTATTATCTCAAAGGTCACCAGTTTTCTTCAGTATAATGCAGTAAAATTTATAATTGGAGATACAACATTTTTTAACCATATAATACTGTAATGTTTTATTTTCAAATTATTCTTTATTTACACTCCCTCCCCACTGAGCTAGTTAATTAATTCATCTAGATTAAAAAATTATATAAACTAGCTATTTGCTAATTATCTACCAATAAAAAATTTTGTATTTTCTAAATTCATTATGATATTGAAATTGATTATGTATATATTAACATTAGACATTGGGCCTTCTGCACAAATAGCCTATATTGTAAAACCAAGTAAAGAAAATAGTATATCCTTTCTTAAATTTTAAAAATAGTTTTTTTAATATTTATATGATAATTAATTTACAAAACTATTCCTTTTAATATCTATTTTTTTTAAATACCAGAGGATTCAAAATGTAAAAAATCTCTAAAATGAGAGACACAAATGTGAGAGAAAAGAAAGAACTCAACGTGAGAGAGACAAATGCAAAATAGTAGTAGTGTGAGTGAGGTAAGGTCACAACAGTGAGAGACAAACACAAGGTGAAATACAGCGATGGTCCTCGACAAAATGGAATAAACTGGCAAAGAAATGGAGGTACAAATTCATATTTTTTATTTTATTAATTTAGGTGTTTGATTCTCTGTAATAAGCTAAAAGTTCAAAATTTGTTATGAACTATATTTGATCTGTTTTGAGCAAATGATTATGTATTTTTTGTGTTACTGATCTGCAATATTACATTATTAATATATAACTGTATATCAATTATAAACAAGTTTATGTCAATTGTCTAGTTATGTCGATCCAGATACTATTATATATCATTGACATATAAGTCATATGAGTGAAAACTTACCAATTTATTTATTATTGATATATATTCATATATCAATGATATAATATCGCAGATTAATAATGGTGTTTCCTCTTCAATGTAAAATACATATCCTCTTCATAATATTTGGAAAAAATAGAGAAGGAGAAAGATAAAAAGCTTTGTGATGAAGATGGTGATCCAAGCAAATCAAGTCAAAAATTCTAATGAAGAAAAACACTTTATGAGAGATGAATATAATGATCCAAGAAAATCAGATCAAAAAATTTGATTAAAAAAATATTTAAAGATGATAAATCAGAGAGGAAGCATGCACAATATGATTTTTGAAATAAAAGATCTTATCAGTTAAAAATTAGTTAAATCAAATTTATTTTGTTTTGATAATAAATTTGTTCTAAAGATAAAAAAAAACATGTCTAATTTATTTTATGAAGGGATTATATTTAAAACTTTCATTCATAATTTATGGGGGTTATATTTTTTTGATATCATTGAGCTAATTTCTCTTGAACATTTATAATTGAACATTTGTACAGAAAATGTGCTTTTGTTTGCTTCCCACGCAGAAAAGAACATAAGGTCCCTGGAACTTTCTTTGCATATTATTTTGCTCTGAAAAGATTGAAAATATTTTTTACCGACAACTTAGACTAATTTCGCTTGAAATATATAAACTAAAGGGCTAAAATTTCTACTAAGACCATATTATCCTTTTTTGTTTTTTTGTTTTTTTTGTTTGCCGACACCATGGTATCCATTTTTGGGGAAAAAGGATGAATAATAAGAAGAAGCAGAAGCGATTTGAGTTTCTTCCCTCGTGTAATTCCATTGCAATTTAAATATTTATTTTCTATAAAATATGATTGGATAGATAAAGGTAATCAAGCAGTACACTTTCTGAACCAGCTGCATACTCCTCTCGTGTAAAATATAAATATTTTTTCTTAATTAATTTTGGTCTAAAATACAAGAAGTTTAGTATTTGTTAAGAACAATTATTTTACCTTATGTATTTATTAAATGTATTCTCGTGCAAGTTTATAACATTCTTTTCACTTACTACTTGTATACAGAGTATTATTAAAAAATGATTATATTTTGGACTGAGAGGAATATACTTCTAACTATTTTACTGGAGTCAATGAAAATTAATTAAATAAGTGAAATTGTCAACAAAAAGAAATAAATTTTTCAATTCATCCTTATTAAATACATGATTTTTAAGAACGTTTTCTCTATTATGTATAATATTTCATTTTGTTTGTAGAAAATTGTGAAAAGAAAATAATTAATAGGTCGCCTTTTTACTCATGAAAATGACTACCAATTTCTTTCTATAAAATAACTCGTATATAGTATCAAAGTTAAGTATTCCATAATTATGCAACAATGTAAGATGAAATTTCATGGACAGATAAAATCATGTCGACAAAGTTATTTTTATTTGGATGTTAATTTCATCGTACTGGCAATAACCAATAAATACAACCCAAAAAAAAAAAACAAAAGCATAATTATGGAGAGAGAAAGAATGAGCAGCTTAATTAAACGAAGTAGAAATCCCTATGGGCCCGTTAAGTTCAATGAAATGCTGCAGAAGTTGTTTTAAATATTAGCATTTAAGAAAACGTATTATCACTAATTAGCTGGAAGTTAATAAAAATGAGTTAGAAAGTAGTATATCATGCATTCATGCTGCCTCTAATTTGGATTTTATTTGACTGGTAACTGTTAAGGGAACGATAAAATTAGGGAGGGAAGCCGCGTGAACGTTAAGTGCTGCAAGCCTATAAATAGTATTCGTCCCAAATCAATGTAATCCGTGCTATTAAGTTGAACACTCAATTAGACCTTATATCTGTTTTCATTCTTCTTCTTTTTCATGTAATATATATATATATACATATATAATTTTCAAACTCAACTCAAAAGAGTTTAAACATATTAATTTGTTGCAAGACGCTAAAAATATTTTTTGCCGGTTTCTTTGCAAATGTTTTGATAAAATAAATTAAAATTGTAAGTACGTATTAATTTTTTTAATAAAAGATCGAGCAAGGTTGAAAATTGACGATGATTGAGACTAAACCGAAGGAGGAGCCCCTGGTTTGTCCACCATGGTATGCCACGTACATAAAAAAATCATAAATATCAAAAACTTCAACAAATGAGGTTACCACCACTCCATGGTGCTTTCCTGACAAGGCAATCGAAAGAAATAATATATATATATATATACATATATAACGACAAACAATGGGAAAAAATTGGGGGAAAAATGGGGGGAAAAAATGAGGAGCCAAACACACGTCTTGCCCCTCTCGTCGGTGTGATAACTGATTTTGACTAAGATTTTGTTACTGTACCCCCGACATATTATTATTATATGTACCTTACATTACCTTTTTGTCTAATAAGTAAGCCATATTTACAATCTACTCTCTCTATTTAAAAATATAAAATATTTTTAAAAAATTAAATATTTAAAAATATAAAATATTTTTAATTTTTTAAAATATAATTATTATTATTTTTTAAAAATATTCCTATTAATAGTTATTTTATATTTATTATAGGGTCATTAATAAGAATAAATATAAAAAAATAGGACTAATTTAGAAATAAGGAACTACTTTATTGAGAATGAAATTTAATTAAAAATACTTTATATTTTTTAATAGAGGGAATATAAATGTTTCAACTTGCTACAATTTATAAATATAAGAATATGGATGTGTTTTAATTTGCTTTTAATTTATATGACATATACTTATAAGGATTTTTCTATTCAATTTTTCCTCAAAGCGAGTCAAAACAAATTGAGCAAGAGACTAGCATACCACTATATTGTAATCAAGATTCAGATCCTGTAAAAACTAAGAGATTATACATGACTGAAAAAAGTTTAGAAAATATTTGATTGTAGGGAAAATTACGTGGAAGGATCAAAGTTACAAGCTCTTTTCCCATTGACCCTGAACATGTCGTGTAAAACTACTAAGTCCATGGTATCTTGCCATGAAAAACAAATGATGTGTGAAGCCCTGATTGCCCCTGTCATGTGTAAAAGCTTTACGAGAGGTAAATTCTCCAAGTATGTAATTACAAACAATGAAAGCAGTGTGGCTGTAATTTTTTGTTATCTTACTGTTAAACAATTGGATTATAACGGGCCTTGTCAATTTTCCTCAAGTGGTGAATACTCGATGCAATTTGTGAATCCTCAAAGCACGAGTGTTAAATAATACGAGTGAAAATTGTAAATGCACGTAGTCTTAATATTTTTTTTTTCCTATGCTATTCTTTTATTTAAAACAATCTTATTTGAAACATATTAAAATATTAAATATCGGCACATTTTCTAATAAGGATTCAAATTTTGATTCAGTATACTGTAAAAAATTAACTAACTTATTTTGTTAAACTGAATCCTCATAAAAAATGGAATTGACACTTGTTAATTTTTCAAGTTTTAAAAACTTGGTGCAGCTTGTAAATCCTCGAAATATATATGAGTGTTAAATAATGGAAGTGAAAGTTATAAATATTTTTAATCTTAGTGTTAAATAATAGAAATGACCCTTGCCAAATTTGTAGTCTAAGTGCTAGCAAGGGAATTAGCACTTTAATTTTTTTTTGGGAAACAATTAGCACTCTATAATTTAATTTCCGTTTGGTAATAAAAACTCGGCGCTACTTAGCTTGTAAATTCTTGTAAATATGCATGCTGCTAAACATGTAATTGAAAATTGTAGATGCTGTTGTTAAATACTACACAGGAGCGCACGCGCAGGAAAGGCTTAAACCTTACATTATGTTTATTACAACTTATTGGATTAAGATACATATCAATCCTTACTTTGACATGTTAATTAACATGACTTACATTATTACATACAATGTTAAAACCTTATGATAATACCTACCGGGACAAAAATTTACATATTT